CCGTAAACCGGAGCGGTTTACAGCCAGCGCTGCGCGTCCGCTGGCCTAATTCCACTCATTAAAGTAGCGGCAGTGAGTCAGCTGACAGAACGAGGCCCTCAGCCATTCCCCGGCCGTCCGACTCACTGACTGCGTTTGTTTGGAGGAGGAGCAGCTCTCAGAGCTGGATCTGAAACATTTAGAGAAATTCAGTTTTCTCCCCTCTCTCCTTCTCTCTTTCTCTCCAAGCCTTTACCAGTCTGGTTTCAATCAGCTGCCTGTTGGGGTCCATCTGCTCTTTAACAGAAAAGCTGTTTGACAGCAGAACACCTGCAGGTTTGTAACCCCCACCTGTCCACGTCCGTCTGGCTGCAGACAGCAGGAAGCCAAGGATGGATGTCCAACTCCACCCACATCCAAGTCGCCCGTTTTCATTAGGTCACCAATAGGAAGATCACCGGCAAGAAAATCGTAATTGCTCCATGGAAATATAGACATTAATTTAAAGGTAGTGAAACTAATCTTGCAAACACTGAATTAAACTCTATACATAATATTATGTTAAAATAGTGGATGTTAAATAGGTTTGTACAATAAGTCCAAACAGGTTTAACCAAAAAATATATATTTCTCACAATTATGAAGGGAGGAGGGTTAGGGTTAGGGCATTGTTTTTCTTCCGATTTCGCATAGACGGTAAAGTTTAATTTCCACCTGAGAAAGCTGCTAGTCACATGACCTAATCAAAATGGCCCACTTGGATGTGGGAGGAGTTGGATATCCAACCGAGGCTCCTATAGGCTGCAGACAGAGGCTGCTCCACCTGTCTGGCAGTTACCTCTTTATTTAGGGAACCCGGGTGGTGACTTCCCGTCTTTGAACAAGCGGCGAGTCGGACAAAGCCGGCCGCCACTTCCTGCCTCCCGCCACAATAAAGCCGCTCCACGTCCTCCGTTATTGATTTTCTAGCGGTTAGCCTGCTGTCAACATAAGGGCTCATGCTAAGCTCTGATCTGTGGCTGAGTTATGACCGGCCCTGGACAGTGTTGTGGGGATGGGGCCGCATGGGGGGTGGGGGGGGGGGGG